ATAGTAATTTCTGAACAGTTTTTTGCGGGGGCTTATTTTCGGCCTGATTTTGCTGCTATCAGACGGAAAAAGTTTGCGGCTCGATATTTTTGGTTTAAATCGAAACTGAAACAAAAGAAATTCATTTTTAAATAGTATTCGGTAACCTCTGCTTGGGAGATAAAAATCGGCCGATTTTAATTTTTAGCCGGAAATCACCGGTCGTTTCTTAGGCGCAGGGCCTCTTAAGTGTCAATCTTGAACTCGATAAAGAACAATCGTCTTACCTGCAGCAGTGTTGAGGTTTTGTAATGTATGCAGCCTCTTCCTTTCTGGTTTCTCTTTCTTTTCTTGCGTGCATGTTCATTAGCTTGGCTCTGAAGATTTTAAGACCTTCATATAATGCGGACAGTATAACCATTACAATACACGAGCCAACCAACACTGGAATTGGAGAGAAAAAAGTGATTAAAGGGCGCGTGACATCTCTCCATCTGTTTTGGACAATAGGAGTTGTTTTTCTTGGAACTCTCAAATGACAAGTTTAGATCGAAATCAAATAGGTCAGGATTACTAAAGATCAGTCGGGGCTTTAAAAATATAAGCTCCCTGCATTGTTAAACACTGCGCGGATTACTGCGCCTGAGTGCTTTGGTCGGCTTTATCTTAATTTTACAAATGATGTCAACTTTATCTACCCTTTGTCGTGGAAATGTCCCAGGGTTCAAACAAGAGGTTAAGATCTGTTCTGAGATGGAACGTCATCTGGAAAGGAACACAAAGAATACTCAGATTAATATTAGGCAACTAACCTTTAATTTTAGCTTTAAGTACATATGTTTCAGAAACGGCAGGATAAGGTGCAACTTTTGGCAGAGTGTTTTTTAACAAAATCTGTTCATAGGGTTCAGAGCCATCTTAAATTTTTTTCACCTTTAAGCTAAAATTACAGGTGTTTTTAGCAGGTAATATTGTTGCTATGGTAACGTATAGTGTCATGAAAATGATAACCACGTGTTCACTAATGATTGGGCAGTTTTTGTACTCCATGATTGTGGCATCAGCTGATAAAGAGTGGTGATAATGACGCGTCGAAAGTGTTGGAAACTGTTTTGAGCCACCTTAGTGTGCGCGAAATGTCACTTTTGTTTACTGAAAGAGAAGGCTAACTGGAAAAAAAAAACTGTTTTTTTGCCAGTGGTTTTTTATCAGTTTTAATTAACCAGTGGCCAAGGACATTATAATTTAAATGTCAATTTGAAAATAATACAAGTCTCAGCTAATCAAATAAGAAAAAAGGCGGCAGTCCAAGCAACACGCAATGTAAAAAGTTACAAATAAGGTTTAAAAGCTGCACTGAATTAGAGGTTGTATGTTCAACACTGAAAGAAAAAATCGATTCGTTGATCAGATGAATGTTTAGAAGAACAAACAAGCTGATAAGATGCAGTGTTAAGAATATAAGTACGAAATATCAAGCTTGACAATATCGCAGGTTTGAGAGTAGTTTCTGGGTCTTTCGTTAAGGCGCGATAGAGCTCGAGTAACTTAAACACAGAAACCATTTACCCTATAATACAACAAGATTCAGGCCTTGGCTAGGAACATTTTCTAACTGAGGTGAAATTTTCGGTTTTCGCCTGCCGTTTGTTTCCAGTATTTGACGCTTCTTGCTTAGACGTAAAAATTTGACAGAAGCTACCAAAAGGTCAAAATGTGTCAACTGTAGAAACAAAAAATGCCATTCAGTTCACGTGATCAACCCGTTCTTGATCTTAAAATAGGAAAACCGGATCTTTTAAAATTTATATTACACAAACGTTTTACAGTGGTCTAAACCACAATCACAAAGTCATTGCCCACAAATTACTCTCTGTTTAGATTTCAGTGAAGTGGATTGTATTGTGTCGCTTCGATATCATGCAATGTTGTTTGTTAGCCAATATTTTCCCAATAAACAAACAACCAAGCAAACAAGAACATAAAATCTGAACTGAAACTTTGAACGTTGCATTAATTACCACGAACAGGAAATTTTCTCTGCGTACGTAAAAGGAGTGGGTTGTTTTATTTGTATTCACTTACACTTGATGTGTCCAGCATCCGCTCTTTGCTGTCGTATAAACAAAGCATGATTTGTGCTAATAACGGTAATTGCCAGCAAGTTAGGTCTTGATTAAGGAACAGTTCATCAACACATATTGGCTTTGAAATTGAAAAAATCGTAGAATTCCGAAAGTAACGGCCCCCGTTACTTTCGGATCTAGCAGACAAAAGGGGCCGCTACTTTCGGGTAGCCGTTACTTTCGGATGGCCTAAAAAAAGTTTATACGGTTAAGCGGACTTATAACACATAAAATTAAAAGTTCCATTTGTGTGTGTTCCGAACTACCCACATAAACAAAGCAGACTGTATAAACAAAAACGGTCCTTAATGTTGGTTCTGTGGAGCGAAACTATTATAGCGCATTATATCGGCTCGCGATGCAACTGATTACACTACAGCGTATCATTTAACTCGCGCTAGACAAATACAGCTCATAAATCATAGTTTTGAGAACAATTCAGTAAAGTTCGAAATGAAATCACGAATAACTCTTCAAGTTGTTCAGTCCTGCAGTCAGAGTGCTCCATCCGCATTGCGCTTGAGATCAGAGAGTTTCTCTTTTAGTGAGTTCTTCAAAGGGCCGCTACTTTCGGAGGGACCGTTACTATCGGTGTTCAATAGGCTGATAAAAAATTAACGCTAATTTCGGGGAGCCGTTATCTTCAGGGGGGCGGGGAGGGGGGAGCCATTACTTTCGGAATTCTACGGCATATCGTTTCAAGTTAATACTTTTCCCTCTTAAATCTGGAGTGCTTGCGACTTTGGGTTGGGTCTTGATCATTTTCACGTTGAGAAATTACTGACTCTTTTCCGCTGATTTCGAAACAATCTTGTCACTGAGAAAGTGAAGTGCTCTTACTTAGAACCTTAGTTATGCTTCAGTAACAACTCACATGGATTTTGAAACATCATTGCAAGGGTCATAATCGCTACCATTAATGATGAAAGAAGAATAAGTTAGCTGACTGAAAGTAAGGAGAGAATTCTTGTTAGAAAGAATTTTTGTATTACCAAACCATAGTTATGACCAAACAGAGTAATATATTGTCTTTGTAATGAGGGTCACCTAAAACAGATATTTTCAGTTCTGCTTGTCGGATCTGTCATTTCCCTTGCGTCAACTGCCGGATTACGTTTGAAGTCTCCTTGACGCGTTCTTTACTGTTGGTTTGTTGTTGCTTTCGGGATTTTGCTAACAACCATAAAATTTTATCCCTACTTTCGGGAATGTCTTTGCTTTAGAAACTTTGAGACCCTAGCTATTTGCAAATTAGAAGATTCAGCTTTGGCCATGCATGAAAGATTCACGTCTTCATTTAGGTAACAGAGTTTAGGGACCGAATATGAACCTTGAGGAAATATCGAAGGCTTACTATGTAAACAATTTATCGGTGGTCGTTATTTTACAAATCGATAAAAAGGAATCTTTTACGCAATCTAAACTCAACTCTTCGAAAGACTGCAGTCTCGGAATTCAGAAAATGGCAATAAAGCCACAATCTTCTTTTGGAGAAATTTATGCCGGCAGGTCGGTTTTGCAAACCCGAACAATTAAATGTCTCTTTTGACTATTTACAAAGCAAGGAAAACGTCTCCGGCAGTATTTATTTTCACTTTTTCCATGAATCGTCAGTCGTCATAGATACCGGAGGTGCCACCAGTTGCCAACTAGATCAGCTTATAGGAGGTTAATGTGTAACATTTAAGACTGAGAAATAGCATCAGTTAACAACTCTTACCGCATGCCCAGCAGCTTCACCGTGTCCTCCCATGTGAGCGTTACCACTTGGGTGATCCATTGACCGGTTCATGGCTGTAGACGCGTTCGTCGCCATCGTTGTGTGTTCGTCCATCCCTCCATGTGAGTGACTTCCGTGTGACATCTTGAAGATCTAGAATCCACAGGTAGCGCAGAGCAGTTTGTGTTAAACTGCTTTATTGTGGGACGGTTTCTCAGTTATATTAAAAACTCGGGATTTTGAGAACGCATTACTCGCTTTCTATTAGTCTTCAGCGGAATTTCGACTTCCAGGCATCTAATTGGTCAGTTTTAGCCGAGAAAACAATGAAGTAAATTTTTGGGTCAACTACCTAATCCTAGACGTACCACGTGACCCTTGGGTTACTATGTATGACTTCCTCTATTGCTTTTGCACGCAATATGAAATCAGTAATTATATGGTGGTCTCACAAAACCACATCACGTTTTTAAAGTTTCCATGACCTATACCGATGAACCATAAATATCAACGCTAAGCTACGATCTACATGAATATAGAGCTACCTTTGGGCGACAAACAGAGGTATTTTAGCAGAACTTAAAAAACATTGTCTCGGTTATTCAAAACTGTCTGAAGTAGACTGGCTGAGATCCGACCGTCCACAAAAATATGAACAGTTTATAGATACTGTAGCGAGAGATTTAGGTCCCCTGAGAATTGAGCATTAACGGATGTACGAATAAGAACCCGTAACACACGCAGTGATAGAAAAGAAAATGCAGACAGTGTTCAGCACAGAGGAAACGTGGTGGAATTAGTTTGTGGTTAAATAATTCCTGCGGCTAATTAACCTTCCTTGGCTCGGGGCTTTTAAAAAGATGAAAATTGCTCTTTTCTCTCATAGCTGATTCTACTTAAGTGTGGTAAGAGTAGCACGTTTCTGTATCAATCCTTTACGGCATTACATTTACGACTGCGAATATCAGCAAAGCAAGCAGAGCGTAACATTTCTGTGAGAAATTCATGTATTTAATACCTTCACAAGACTTCTTCAGTTTGCTGATGTAGACGACTTGGTAGTGAAATCAGAATTTTCTCTTGCAAGGTAAAGCCTATATATACTAATTATAAGACGAAATCTTTTACAGTCCTTTCGGCCTTGTATATATTTAACCCAAAGCCATATAAATTACTTCACAGCTAGCAGACTTTTCTAGAGTTATGTTAATGGGTCACGTAGGGAAGTTGTTCTTCGAAGTCTCGCTTTAATAGGTTTGTACCAAGAGAGCTGCCTTGTGTTCTAAATGGGCTCGATAGGTCTATATATTTATAGGTTTCTATTTGTATTGAATGCTTAACTAAAGAGCAAAGAGGCATCGTGTAAGACTAAATAGCAAAAAATTTGATTGAGACCTTTTCTTTCTCATGGAAAACAGGCCACATAAAATATTGAAGTCCAAACCTTGTCGACAGAGTCGAAAAAATTATCGCTTCTTGGCCAAATCTGATTTTCTTTCTCGAACAGACAGCGCTGACAAGCACAGGTCATGATTGTACAGAACTTCAAGCGTCATCAACTGTTTCAACACGACATTCTCTACTTAGTGCCTACCTTGATTTCTTTATCCGTTTTCTGGCGTTTTCTTGGGGTTGCAAAATTCTTTTGGGCGATGCTTCGAATTTACAAGTAAATTCCGAAACACCGGCACTAGTTTTCCAACTAAGTATTCTATAAAAGTGAAGCCTTTGTAATTTTTTAGTGTTTTGATTTGATTTATTTTTTGCATACCTAGCGACAATAGATTCAAATTGAGTCTAATTTGATTCCCGCCAGTGACGGCAACAACGATGACAGTGCACTACCCTCTTGACAACGAGCCAAGTATTTAAGAACCACTGCCTTTAAATATAGCATCACTGCCTCTAAATATGGAGAATCTGACGTTAGGTTGGAAAATTTGAATTTTCTTATATTGTGTTAAAAAGACCCTTTTGGTGAACTTTTTTTCAGAAACATACTTTAAAAGTTCCAGCGAGTTCACATTTTTGTGAACGGAACGATAAATCAACTAAGATGGCCGATGGAATTTATGTAAAATTGCGCATTTTTAAAACAGGCCAGTACAGAAAGATTGAAACTTGCCTTGATTTCATATTCACACAATTAGTAATTTACGCCTTGATCATTTCTCTGAGCTGAAAATCATCTTAAAGTAATTACGTTTTGTCCCTCATTTTCTCTCGGTTTTGTCTACTTCTTGGCCGTTTGAAACATACAACTATCGCCGCAATTTAATTTACATGCCAAATTTGAACAGATTTTTAGAGGGTCCTAGCTTAGAATACAAATCTCTCGCCAAATAGGATGTTCTAAAGAAAGAGCCATGCTATGGTTATACTATATCTAAAAGGCTAGTTTGACCCGTACGATTAAAGCGTACTAGACGAGGTAGATGGGTATTTTGACCAATTGCGCCATTTTTAGACGATTGAGTAAAGACTTCGATTGCGCATGATCGCAGTCGTTTTTATAAACATAATTCCACATACAATTCTATAGCCTGTGTAGCTTGGCGGTTTAAGCAATTTTTTAAGGAACTTGAGCGCGAGCGCCCAAAGCGGCAAAGTAGTGAAAATGAGCGGCGAAGCCGCGAGGAACCGGTTTCTCAGTTGTCTCTCTCTCGTGTCTCTCTCCCAGACTCCCGGCTTTGGCGCTCGTTATCGTGGCTTCGCCGCTTTCTTAGGGCGCTCAAATTGCTTCAAAACTGCCGAGCTACGCAGGCTAACAAGTCTATAATTCCGTATAACTGCGATGATCAGCCATGTCGTCATATAGAAAGTGAGCCTGTCCTGATCTCTGCAATTTTTTTCATTTCCACGCCGGAAACCGCAGAAAAAAATAAGCCAACTAATGTTCTCCGGAAGTATGAACTTTGGCAGCTCAGATTTCTCGGGAAAATTGTAAATCTTTTTCATGATAACATGCAGCCACGATGTCCGTTGTTAATAAAGTTCTGCCGAAGGAAAACCGTCAATGTTTATTGCGTTCTCGGGGAACGAGAGAACGCATCCTAATTTTGTTTCGGCCTGTCAGCGGTTAGCCTGCGAAAACAGCCGTCCTTCTTCGCTCCCGGCCCGAGTGGCGTCTCGCGAAACGCCGCTCAGGCCGGGAGCGTAGAAGGACGGCTGTTTTTGCAGGCTAGTCTGCAGCCGGCAGAAATCGAGATTTTTTTGTGAAGACTGCACGCTGCATCTCTAGGTTTTTTCAAGGAACTTTGGGCCTCGTTTTCGTGTCCATCTGCTACGTCTTTCTAGTCCTCTTTTGTGGCTTCTTTCTTTGCAAACTCGTTCCCAGGCTCTCTCTCCTCTGCCTACAAGGTTCGATGCATGTGTATACGAGAAGACCTTCTTTTTCGATCGTTCGCGATCGCTCGTTTCTAAATCCAGTATAGTAGTTTGGGACCGTGTATGGCCTGTTTGGTCAGGATTCGAGATGACGTTGCTTTTGTTACATACCTGGGACAACAATTATTTATCCTGTTCACGAACACGACTTTGAATCGCCTTGGCTTTGGAATGTCAACCGTGGGAACAGCTATATTTCATTGGCTATATTTTGATTACATTTGTTGACTTCAATTAATAGTTCCATTGGCCGCAAATAGTTCAGTATCCAGCGAAGGTCAAAACTGAATCGATGGAAAGTACTCTGAAGACAAGATCTATAAGAGTAAGCCAGAACTAAGGAACAGCAATGTAAATGCTGACTATTTTTATTCATCAGCGGAAATATTCGAATTAGTTGCAGCTAATATTACTCGATATAAGTTAACGATATTAAGACTCTTCAATATTCCCATACATACGCAATAAGAGAAAATTCACATTTTCGAACCTGTCGTCGGATTCTCCACATTTAGAGGCAGTGGCGATTCTTGACTCTGATCTTTCCGCCAGGTCATATTGTTTGTGATGTTATAGTAGATGCAATTACCTGTTAGATGTTTATAATCAGCGCCGTTCGTTAGCGGCAATATTTCCTAACAAAAAACATTACTTANAGAGTGCTCCATCCGCATTGCGCTTGAGATCAGAGAGTTTCTCTTTTAGTGAGTTCTTCAAAGGGCCGCTACTTTCGGAGGGACCGTTACTATCGGTGTTCAATAGGCTGATAAAAAATTAACGCTAATTTCGGGGAGCCGTTATCTTCAGGGGGGCGGGGAGGGGGGAGCCATTACTTTCGGAATTCTACGGCATATCGTTTCAAGTTAATACTTTTCCCTCTTAAATCTGGAGTGCTTGCGACTTTGGGTTGGGTCTTGATCATTTTCACGTTGAGAAATTACTGACTCTTTTCCGCTGATTTCGAAACAATCTTGTCACTGAGAAAGTGAAGTGCTCTTACTTAGAACCTTAGTTATGCTTCAGTAACAACTCACATGGATTTTGAAACATCATTGCAAGGGTCATAATCGCTACCATTAATGATGAAAGAAGAATAAGTTAGCTGACTGAAAGTAAGGAGAGAATTCTTGTTAGAAAGAATTTTTGTATTACCAAACCATAGTTATGACCAAACAGAGTAATATATTGTCTTTGTAATGAGGGTCACCTAAAACAGATATTTTCAGTTCTGCTTGTCGGATCTGTCATTTCCCTTGCGTCAACTGCCGGATTACGTTTGAAGTCTCCTTGACGCGTTCTTTACTGTTGGTTTGTTGTTGCTTTCGGGATTTTGCTAACAACCATAAAATTTTATCCCTACTTTCGGGAATGTCTTTGCTTTAGAAACTTTGAGACCCTAGCTATTTGCAAATTAGAAGATTCAGCTTTGGCCATGCATGAAAGATTCACGTCTTCATTTAGGTAACAGAGTTTAGGGACCGAATATGAACCTTGAGGAAATATCGAAGGCTTACTATGTAAACAATTTATCGGTGGTCGTTATTTTACAAATCGATAAAAAGGAATCTTTTACGCAATCTAAACTCAACTCTTCGAAAGACTGCAGTCTCGGAATTCAGAAAATGGCAATAAAGCCACAATCTTCTTTTGGAGAAATTTATGCCGGCAGGTCGGTTTTGCAAACCCGAACAATTAAATGTCTCTTTTGACTATTTACAAAGCAAGGAAAACGTCTCCGGCAGTATTTATTTTCACTTTTTCCATGAATCGTCAGTCGTCATAGATACCGGAGGTGCCACCAGTTGCCAACTAGATCAGCTTATAGGAGGTTAATGTGTAACATTTAAGACTGAGAAATAGCATCAGTTAACAACTCTTACCGCATGCCCAGCAGCTTCACCGTGTCCTCCCATGTGAGCGTTACCACTTGGGTGATCCATTGACCGGTTCATGGCTGTAGACGCGTTCGTCGCCATCGTTGTGTGTTCGTCCATCCCTCCATGTGAGTGACTTCCGTGTGACATCTTGAAGATCTAGAATCCACAGGTAGCGCAGAGCAGTTTGTGTTAAACTGCTTTATTGTGGGACGGTTTCTCAGTTATATTAAAAACTCGGGATTTTGAGAACGCATTACTCGCTTCCTATTAGTCTTCAGCGGAATTTCGACTTCCAGGCATCTAATTGGTCAGTTTTAGCCGAGAAAACAATGAAGTAAATTTTTGGGTCAACTACCTAATCCTAGACGTACCACGTGACCCTTGGGTTACTATGTATGACTTCCTCTATTGCTTTTGCACGCAATATGAAATCAGTAATTATATGGTGGTCTCACAAAACCACATCACGTTTTTAAAGTTTCCATGACCTATACCGATGAACCATAAATATCAACGCTAAGCTACGATCTACATGAATATAGAGCTACCTTTGGGCGACAAACAGAGGTATTTTAGCAGAACTTAAAAAACATTGTCTCGGTTATTCAAAACTGTCTGAAGTAGACTGGCTGAGATCCGACCGTCCACAAAAATATGAACAGTTTATAGATACTGTAGCGAGAGATTTAGGTCCCCTGAGAATTGAGCATTAACGGATGTACGAATAAGAACCCGTAACACACGCAGTGATAGAAAAGAAAATGCAGACAGTGTTCAGCACAGAGGAAACGTGGTGGAATTAGTTTGTGGTTAAATAATTCCTGCGGCTAATTAACCTTCCTTGGCTCGGGGCTTTTAAAAAGATGAAAATTGCTCTTTTCTCTCATAGCTGATTCTACTTAAGTGTGGTAAGAGTAGCACGTTTCTGTATCAATCCTTTACGGCATTACATTTACGACTGCGAATATCAGCAAAGCAAGCAGAGCGTAACATTTCTGTGAGAAATTCATGTATTTAATACCTTCACAAGACTTCTTCAGTTTGCTGATGTAGACGACTTGGTAGTGAAATCAGAATTTTCTCTTGCAAGGTAAAGCCTATATATACTAATTATAAGACGAAATCTTTTACAGTCCTTTCGGCCTTGTATATATTTAACCCAAAGCCATATAAATTACTTCACAGCTAGCAGACTTTTCTAGAGTTATGTTAATGGGTCACGTAGGGAAGTTGTTCTTCGAAGTCTCGCTTTAATAGGTTTGTACCAAGAGAGCTGCCTTGTGTTCTAAATGGGCTCGATAGGTCTATATATTTATAGGTTTCTATTTGTATTGAATGCTTAACTAAAGAGCAAAGAGGCATCGTGTAAGACTAAATAGCAAAAAATTTGATTGAGACCTTTTCTTTCTCATGGAAAACAGGCCACATAAAATATTGAAGTCCAAACCTTGTCGACAGAGTCGAAAAAATTATCGCTTCTTGGCCAAATCTGATTTTCTTTCTCGAACAGACAGCGCTGACAAGCACAGGTCATGATTGTACAGAACTTCAAGCGTCATCAACTGTTTCAACACGACATTCTCTACTTAGTGCCTACCTTGATTTCTTTATCCGTTTTCTGGCGTTTTCTTGGGGTTGCAAAATTCTTTTGGGCGATGCTTCGAATTTACAAGTAAATTCCGAAACACCGGCACTAGTTTTCCAACTAAGTATTCTATAAAAGTGAAGCCTTTGTAATTTTTTAGTGTTTTGATTTGATTTATTTTTTGCATACCTAGCGACAATAGATTCAAATTGAGTCTAATTTGATTCCCGCCAGTGACGGCAACAACGATGACAGTGCACTACCCTCTTGACAACGAGCCAAGTATTTAAGAACCACTGCCTTTAAATATAGCATCACTGCCTCTAAATATGGAGAATCTGACGTTAGGTTGGAAAATTTGAATTTTCTTATATTGTGTTAAAAAGACCCTTTTGGTGAACTTTTTTTCAGAAACATACTTTAAAAGTTCCAGCGAGTTCACATTTTTGTGAACGGAACGATAAATCAACTAAGATGGCCGATGGAATTTATGTAAAATTGCGCATTTTTAAAACAGGCCAGTACAGAAAGATTGAAACTTGCCTTGATTTCATATTCACACAATTAGTAATTTACGCCTTGATCATTTCTCTGAGCTGAAAATCATCTTAAAGTAATTACGTTTTGTCCCTCATTTTCTCTCGGTTTTGTCTACTTCTTGGCCGTTTGAAACATACAACTATCGCCGCAATTTAATTTACATGCCAAATTTGAACAGATTTTTAGAGGGTCCTAGCTTAGAATACAAATCTCTCGCCAAATAGGATGTTCTAAAGAAAGAGCCATGCTATGGTTATACTATATCTAAAAGGCTAGTTTGACCCGTACGATTAAAGCGTACTAGACGAGGTAGATGGGTATTTTGACCAATTGCGCCATTTTTAGACGATTGAGTAAAGACTTCGATTGCGCATGATCGCAGTCGTTTTTATAAACATAATTCCACATACAATTCTATAGCCTGTGTAGCTTGGCGGTTTAAGCAATTTTTTAAGGAACTTGAGCGCGAGCGCCCAAAGCGGCAAAGTAGTGAAAATGAGCGGCGAAGCCGCGAGGAACCGGTTTCTCAGTTGTCTCTCTCTCGTGTCTCTCTCCCAGACTCCCGGCTTTGGCGCTCGTTATCGTGGCTTCGCCGCTTTCTTAGGGCGCTCAAATTGCTTCAAAACTGCCGAGCTACGCAGGCTAACAAGTCTATAATTCCGTATAACTGCGATGATCAGCCATGTCGTCATATAGAAAGTGAGCCTGTCCTGATCTCTGCAATTTTTTTCATTTCCACGCCGGAAACCGCAGAAAAAAATAAGCCAACTAATGTTCTCCGGAAGTATGAACTTTGGCAGCTCAGATTTCTCGGGAAAATTGTAAATCTTTTTCATGATAACATGCAGCCACGATGTCCGTTGTTAATAAAGTTCTGCCGAAGGAAAACCGTCAATGTTTATTGCGTTCTCGGGGAACGAGAGAACGCATCCTAATTTTGTTTCGGCCTGTCAGCGGTTAGCCTGCGAAAACAGCCGTCCTTCTTCGCTCCCGGCCCGAGTGGCGTCTCGCGAAACGCCGCTCAGGCCGGGAGCGTAGAAGGACGGCTGTTTTTGCAGGCTAGTCTGCAGCCGGCAGAAATCGAGATTTTTTTGTGAAGACTGCACGCTGCATCTCTAGGTTTTTTCAAGGAACTTTGGGCCTCGTTTTCGTGTCCATCTGCTACGTCTTTCTAGTCCTCTTTTGTGGCTTCTTTCTTTGCAAACTCGTTCCCAGGCTCTCTCTCCTCTGCCTACAAGGTTCGATGCATGTGTATACGAGAAGACCTTCTTTTTCGATCGTTCGCGATCGCTCGTTTCTAAATCCAGTATAGTAGTTTGGGACCGTGTATGGCCTGTTTGGTCAGGATTCGAGATGACGTTGCTTTTGTTACATACCTGGGACAACAATTATTTATCCTGTTCACGAACACGACTTTGAATCGCCTTGGCTTTGGAATGTCAACCGTGGGAACAGCTATATTTCATTGGCTATATTTTGATTACATTTGTTGACTTCAATTAATAGTTCCATTGGCCGCAAATAGTTCAGTATCCAGCGAAGGTCAAAACTGAATCGATGGAAAGTACTCTGAAGACAAGATCTATAAGAGTAAGCCAGAACTAAGGAACAGCAATGTAAATGCTGACTATTTTTATTCATCAGCGGAAATATTCGAATTAGTTGCAGCTAATATTACTCGATATAAGTTAACGATATTAAGACTCTTCAATATTCCCATACATACGCAATAAGAGAAAATTCACATTTTCGAACCTGTCGTCGGATTCTCCACATTTAGAGGCAGTGGCGATTCTTGACTCTGATCTTTCCGCCAGGTCATATTGTTTGTGATGTTATAGTAGATGCAATTACCTGTTAGATGTTTATAATCAGCGCCGTTCGTTAGCGGCAATATTTCCTAACAAAAAACATTACTTAATAGCACCTTAGTCCGTCTGTGCTGTTACTTATGCTTATAGGCAAGAAACAATCAGCAGTTTCTAGCACTTTCCAAGACGTAGATTTTAATGGGTCATTGTAACCATTCTATATCGGTTGATGTCGCAATCGTGGTATCAAAAAAACTGCCCAATCATTTGTAAACAAGTTGGTGTCAATTTCCTGGCACGATAGGTTACCATAGCAACAGTGTAACCTGCTAAAAACACCCTTAATTTTAGCTTTAAGCGCTTATAACTCAAAAGCGAGCTTGGTGAACCCCATTTTTATTATCGAATTGTGATAAACATGATAAGATGGAACTTTTTACAAAGTTTAAAAAAATTCTATGGAGAGGGATCCTTAACTGCACTCGTATTGATATGATTACATATATACTTATTATATAACTAGGAAAATTACTTCATTGTGATTGGCTGAGAGCAGGGTAATTAATCTATCGTTATTTTGTAATTTGCACTGCAATGCAAATTAACGTGCGCGCGTTCGTAATTTTCTCGGTCATGATAAATGGGTAATGGAGTGAAAGCTCGAGCGATTAAGGATTTACACTACTCATGATATTTGAAAATTCTTTCCAGTTGCACGAGCCATTGAGAGAATATCACTCGTAGTGTAAATCCCTAATTACACTCGCATTCCTGCTATTACCTATTCAAATAGTAAAATTTTATAATATGAAATAAAGAACATAGCGAAAAATGTGCATGGTTTGAGTGTTGGTTTTATTGACTTGAGTGATATAGAGCGGTTTTCAATTGCATGAGTGTCGTCAAACCAACACTAAAGTTGTCACTCTAGCCAATCGTAAAGGACACAGACAATACTTAAAACTCAGTGTAATTACATGCAGCTGACGCAATGCGCCGGGAAATGCGTGAAAGTGAGTCACAATTGGTTTTGGTTTTACTTTTGACTGGATGAAAAATTGGTGCGAGTTTTTAAGCCAATCGTGTAGCGTAGTAACTGCAAAACCAACTACAGTGGAACCTCGATTTAACGAACCTCTATTTAACGAAGTCCTCGATATAACGAACGATATTCTATGTCCCGGCCAAAGTTACAGTAAAATGTATGGGATAGAACCACGATATAACGAACCTCGATATAACGAATTCTTCGATATAACGAACATGATCCGGAAGCCCAGACTTAAAATCTATTTCGATATAATGAATTACAGTGTCAACACGCGACAGAAGATAAACGCTGAACAGATCAACAGTCAACAAATCCGTGCAATCCTTATTGTAAAGAGACAGTAACCTTTCAGTCAACGGCTTATTATATGTCATAGACATTGGCACTACAGTATTTCGACATCAATTAACTTCTGCTCTATCTTCTTTGAAATCCAGAAATGTTGGGTAGTACAACGTAACAACACTAGAGCCCGTTTCCTTGTTTACATAGACAATTTTCTGTATAACCTCTATGTTGCAACATTTTTAAATCGCTACTCTGAAAGTGTCGTTTTTTTGTAAACAAAAGCTGCGCGTCTGCTCAAAAGTGAAAATAATTGATATTGAAAGCCACCATGCTTAATGAACTGCATCTCAAAACGCGGCACTTCTGGGTGACGAAAATTGCTTTGAATTGCGTGACAGAAGTCACCTGTGTTACAAATCAATCATTAAATATGACCTCGATATAACGAACATTTTGGTCGTTTCACCTCAAATTCGTTATATCGAGGTTTTCGATATAACCAACCCTCGATTTAACGAACAAATTTGGCCGGTCCCCAGCGACTTCGTTAAATCGAGGTTCCACTGTACTGTTCGACACTCTAATAAAAACTGCTCTAATAGGTTTATTAATTGTAACTGTTAGAGTTCCATAGAGCTTTTCTATGGGCTAGACGCCAGAATTATTGATAACCCGTCTGTTAAGACCCTTAATAATATCAAGAGAAAATGAGGTAACATATATGCAAAAAATTCGGCATGCTGATAGGCTGAGAGCAGTGAGACTGACTGAGAACAGTGCAGAAAGTTGAAATTGAGAGCAGAAAGTAACAATTAAATTGCATGTGTATTATTACTGAGTGATGAAATGATTTCACTCGTGCAGTTTGGAATAAGTAAGCACTCAACAGTGGTGGATCTAGGGGAGGGGCCCGGGGGGCCCGGCTCCCCCCCCCTTATTTTGGGTAAAAAAAGAACAAATCACAGAAGGAAGAAAAGCCGGCAGGGCAAGCAAAACAACCCCCCACCCCCCACCCCCCCAGCTCAAGGTCTGGATCCGCCCCTGCTCATGAATTTGTCAAAGACTACAATTCTTTTAGTCAAAATTGCACTCGGAATCATCTGCTTACCTATACTCACTGAATAAAAATTTCAAACAAATGGTGCCTGAGTACCTGGAGCGTGTATTTTTAAAGTTATCAACTAATTTCAAAAGAATCGTCAAAATACCCATACATAGCATCAGTACAACTCACACGAATCATTCCAGGCTGCGTGTGGGGTGGAAACGTTTGGTGTTTCCTTCCATTGACAGCCAAAGTCAATCCGTTGTTGATTCGTACAATGCATTTCATTAAGGGGCTAGGGAGGGGAATAAGGATAGCTTTACGTTTTTATCCAAATGAGAAGTGAAACCGTTTGATAATTGGTACTATTCTTAACAAATAATGAATCGATGCATTGACTAGCAGTAGTTTCTCCTAGGTAATCTGTCGGAAATTGCAAAGGTTACTTATTAGGGAAATCTGATTCAGGAAACCTGAAATATTTTCACATTTCAGTCTAAGTTGAGGGGTTAAATTATCTGACCATTCCATCAGGGGCACCATTTGTACGAATATGGTACGAATCGCTAAACGTTTGTGTCTGATATCAGTCAAGTCTCCAAATCGACTACTGTTTTCACTTCTTGTTTGCACGGATGGTGTAGATCGTGAAGCTGCTTGGAGAAATCTTGCCCGTTTATGTAAAATGGAGAAAGATGATTGACCTTGATTGACAGCAGGAAAAGATACGCATAAGCTTAAGTCAGACACACGTAGGTTGAAAATGTCGTTTCTAGAGCCTAGACCTCAATAACATTTGGTCACCTGGTGCGCTAAACCCAGAAGTACCTCTGGTGACGAGAACGAGTCTTCCTGCGAAACCATTCATATGAAAATGTGTTCCCCAACAGGTTAAATTTCATGCAAATCAACTCATTTTCATATGAAAGGTTTTGCTCGAAGACTCGTTTTGAAACAGAGACACAAGGTAAATTGGAATGTTCCGTGTGGCCCGGTCAGGGGATCTACTAACTGTAAGCATATTAGACAAGCTAACGCCATGGCTTCTCATGTCGTTAATTCACCGCACACGCACGTACCATGTCATCGGGCAACCATCCACCCATAAAAAGTTTCCTTTTAACTGAAACCACAATATAGTGAGCCAGATACTATGATGAGTTTTATTACAAATGTGATATCCGGAAGTACACAGGATTTTAGTTAGCCTTGAGAATACTTTCATCTCTTACACAATATGTTGATAACAAAAAAGCTTGAAGATTAAGCATTTGCGTACACAGATGACAAGCACGTAGCCGTTTAATAGGGCTGAAGGAACAAATATGACGCAAGGTTCTGTTGCTTTCATGGAACTGCTTCCAAAATATTTCCTACAATCAGCCTGCACACTAACATACGCTCTCCCATGCCGAGAATAGGACAGGAATTTGTAATTTACTTAGAATTTTGGTTGCGCATAGTTGATAATGACCAGCATGAGGAACAGAGACGAAGACGAACTGTTAACGTCTTTAGTTGAAGATTTGTTCTTGTTTTGCGGAGTAAGCAAATAGAATGGTGTCCGTAGTAAAATTCATAAAAATTTGTTTTGGTGGTGTACGATGGTGTACGATGTAGGATTGAAGGTTCAGCTTCGCCTCCCTGCCCACTCCTCACTTTCTAGCTATTTCCCAGTGATCTTTGCGAGTGCAGTTCGTCTCCGCCATTTTGGAACGTGTGCAGGAAAAGTAACGGTAAATTGACTTTACCGTAATTTCAAAGGTTTGTTCTTTGTTTTTAAACAACTTGAACCAGTGATATTCCTTGATCTGGGTCATGAGCTAACTTTCTTCAGTTTTTTGCTTATCGGAACTAGGAGATGGAATGTGAAGACGTGTGTGTTGACAACTTGTGAGGACCGTCCCTGGACGACGGTAAGCGCGCTTGGAAATTGTTTTGCGGTGTGGTTACCTTACAGTTTGGTTAGATAAATATTGACTAGATAATAAAATAGGATATAAACGTCGTATGTGTATCCATCAGAGTTTTTCCTTCTTTTAAGAGGCACATAACAGTGGCGGATCCAGACCTTGAGCTAAGCGGAAGGGGGCAGGGAGGGGTGAGCGGTTTTGTTTTGCTTGTCCTGCTGGCGTTTCTTTCTTCCTTGATTTTTTCTTTTTTTACCCAAAATAAGGGGGAGGGCCCTACCCTAGATCCGCCACTGCATAAACTGGGAAACATGTAGCGCAGTATTTCTATGGGTCATTCCATTTAAGGACGTTCACACGAAAATTTCCAGTTGATAGATTTTTTTAAAATTTTTACTGCAGTTAGATAATGAGTTTCTTGTGTCAGAAATGCAAAAAAAATTGGGGTCACTGACTTTGTTTCAGAGATAAAGCATGTGGAAACTACCCTGATTTTGAAAAATTGGTGCACATAATTACATGTAGGCATGGTCTACAGGGGTTTATAGTTTAAAATATCAAAGGTGAGTCAACGGAGACAAATGATCTCAGTCATATTTTGTAGAAGTGGCTCTGTTGCGTAAATAATTCCAACTGTTGTCAACGTTTTCACAAAACTTAACCCTTCAAAAGGCATTTGAAACCACCGCACAGATAAACAAAGAGCTAAACAGAATGGAACTTGATGGCATTTTGCAAGCTTATCGATCAACTTTCTCCATTTTTTGCTAAATGTAGAAAATTGGTAGAGAAAATGATCCATCAAAAGAAAAATAGGGGTCACTGAACAGCCGAGATCATTAAATCCAGGCAAGGCCATCTGCCCTATCATTGTTTATCATTGCGTGCTCATGCATGATGTGGACTGTGAATTTGTGTGCACAGTAAGGATGTGCAGAAACAATTAGCGTGAACATTCTTAATCGGCCCCTTCTTCCCCTTCTATCGAGGAGCTTTGAATTTTACCCCTCTCAGAAAAGTTAACTTCTTTACCCCCCAAGAAAGGAAGACTGTGCCAACACACTTGCCCCTTCAGAAACGGCCTTTTAAGACTCCCCCCTCCCCTTCAGATTTCCTAGCACCTCAATGAGGGGTAGGGGAGGGGGGGTGCAGAGGTGGTTGAGAGGCATCGTGAAGCCTTGATGTACCCATAAGTCATCAGCACATTTTAAAGAACCAAAATGTGCTCTCTGATGTTCAAACAAACTGATAAAATTGAGGTATTGGCGTTTGAAGTCAGATCGATCCAGGTAGCAAAGTCTGAGAGCAGTTTTTACCCTAACCTGCGAGCAGGCTCACATTGGAGCAAAAGCGTGCGGGGGGTAGCCACAAGCGCGAAATGAAGCAGCAAAGCCACGAGACAAGAAAGTGAGCCTGCTCTGATCTCTGCAAATTTTTATTTCCACCCTGGAAACTGCAGAAAAGAATAAGTCAATTAATTTTCACCAGAAGTATGAACTTTGGCAGGTGAGCTTTCTCAGGAAACCTGTAAATCTTTTTCATAACAATGTGTAGGCATGATATCCATTGTTGATAAAGTTCTGCCGAAGAAAAACTGTCAAAGTTTATGTCTACTAACGACACACACTTAATTCCAAGTGATCTAATTCTTGCTTTTGCAATCTGGTCTTCGACAATGCTGGTAAACGGGCAAATGCCTTCATGTTGTTTCATTGCCCGCTTGCAATCACATACGTTTTAAATATTTAACTCTTCCCATATGCAGTCGGCAACATGACAAGTACGTCTTGATTCATTGACATACTTTCAACTGCTGTTTCTTGCTCCCTCTTTAGTATGGAATTTAACCAGAAATAGACTGGAACTTTGTTAAAACATCAGAATACGCACACTCAACTCTTCCTCTGACTCCAAATGTGGACGACTTGTTGTTTATTGTGCGGTAAATTACCAACTCCATGGGGATTTAATCTCTTCTCATCAAACATAATAGATTGACAGTTTTCTCGCCTTTCCCGCTTTTTGACCAATGGTATTCAACATCACTTGTCAAAGCACAAATGAAAAAATTACAGAGATCAGGGCAGGCTCACTTTCTTTTTGCCTCTTCACCAGATCCTGCCAGATCACTTTGCTCTTTGCCGCTCGTGCGCCTGACTCAAAGGTGAGCCTGCTTACAGGCTATTCTTGCCCAAGAAAACAATCCTCTGGTGAGTTGTGGCCCATTTGCCAAGTGTTGCCATTGTCAAAGTTTGGAAAGCAAGAACTGATTTTAGACTTATTAAATGTCTTGCATAGACTGCCATGTTTCCCGCAGGTGAGTTGTAAAGAACCTTCCTGGCATGCATTGGGATCATGCGCAGTGGACATTTCGTGGCTTTAGAAGCCTGGTAAACAGCAATGTAAGAAAGAGGAAGTGGATTTTATGTAGCTATGGACACGGGGAGTACCACAGATAATGGCCAACAAGTACCGATCAATTATAACAGCAATAATCAGCGTGATTTGTAGTGTTTTGAACTTATAGCATCAGGGGACAGAACCCTAACCTCGGGAGCATTGTAAAATCAACATTTCACTCTGTCATAAGTCAAATGAGTGTCTCTGTGGTCATGCATTTCTGTGAAATCTGCATTTAACTGTTCCTTAGGTAAAAGTGTATTTGAGGTCGACTGTTGACATGAAATCAACATGTATGTGTTTTTTTTCAAAGTGAAATCAACATCTGAGCTTTGGTGTGTCAACAATTAACTGTCTTCTTTAAGTGAAATGAGCATCTCTGTGGTCACGCATTCTCATGAAATCAACATGTAACTGTTTCTTAAGTGAAAAAAAAGCGTCTTTGAGGTCGCCTTTTGACGTGAAATCAACATATCACAGTGTATGTGTATTTTTTTAAGTCAAATCAACATCTCTGAGCTTTCCCGTTGAGGTGAAATCAACATATTTATGAGTGTTTTTTTAAGTGAAATGAGCATCTCTGCGGTCACACATTCTTGTGAACTTTTTCTTTAAGTGAAGTGAGCATCTCTTTGTGGTCACGTGTTCTCCTGGAATCAACATTTTAGTCTTTTTGAAGTGAAATCAACACCTTTGAGCTTAGGCATTCTCGAGACATCCACATCCTCGAGTTTACATGTTCTCGTGAAATCAACATTTCACTGTGTCTGAAGTAAATCAACATCTCTGAGCTTATGCCTTCTTGTGAAATCAACATTTCACTGGTTTTGAAGTGAAATCAACATCTTTGCGGTCAGAAATTAACGTGAAATGAATATTTCACTGTTCATTAAGCGAGAAAAAATATATATATTTGCAGTCAGATGCTGACTTTTTAACATTTAAACACCTGAAGATGTTGCCAGAGGAAATCGAGTATTTTTTTGCATACATTATATCTCAAAAACAAAGCAAAAATCAACAGCAAAAATACAGGACCATGTTTTTCTTTTACATTGTGTTGTTCAAGAAAATATCCATACCCCTCTCATGGAAGGTTTTTTAACTTGAACCCCACCCCTCTGGAAATTTCATTTTAGTGCCATACTTTCCTTTAAAAAATTGGGCTTTTGAACCCCTCCTCCCACTTGGAATTTCTGTTAACCTTCCTTGGGGTGGGTATGGATATTTTCTGGAACTACACGTTAAAGACCACATGCAAAAATTCAGGCACTTTTGAGAAAAAAATAGTTTCACACAAAATTGTCACTTAGCATGGTTTTGCACTCACCCCCTCACTTGATTTTTGTTGGGTTTTTTTTTTTTCATGATGTTAAACAAAATCCTGCAAAAAATTGTTGCTGCAAACATATTTCCAGCAAATAGTATCCAGCTCCTGAAAATACATTTAATCCATATTGATCACCATTAATAAACAATTTGCTTCTGTCTGCAATAATTAGAAGCATGCCTTTTATTGAGGGACTTTGATATTGAATTATACTACATGTACTACACATTGTCAAAGAACCATAATTATGATACAAAACTATTAGATTCCATGTTCATACTTGTACAATAACATTTGTATGTTGATCAGCCATTTGAACAACACATTTGACAGTACCTGGTCTTCCGTGGTGAAAATCTTTCAAGGATCTTCTCAAACTCATTAATTATTCATCAAGTTTGGGAAAATATGACCGTGACAGTGTTTGATATCTGATCGTATGATTGTAATATGATTTTATCTCTCCGTTTTCTCCTTAGGGAAAGTGTTTGACCACATTTTCAAACACCTCGAAGTTTGTCAAAAATACACCACTTCTCCTTGTATATTCGACTCTCTCCTCTACATGGACAGCTTAAACTTGACATTTATGGTCACTTCTATTGTTGGAAACCTGTATTAAATGGACACTGCAAAAAGATGGCAGTTTTTTTCCACATTTTAATAGATTGGTCATTTCAGTTTACCGACAAAGAGCTGTCACAGAAATGCGATACATTATTTGGTTTTGTTTTACAAAACTTTTGGTATTGTTTGATTTTGTGAACCTTCACATAATTCGATTAATATAGATACTGTGCTGCATACTTAAATGCTTTACCTCATGTACTTGTCATTGCTAATGGAAATACAGTATTTCAGAGTTATCAGCCAGGCATGAGAATGCTATTTGACCCTTCAAAAAGTCTTTCAATACTGATGAATATTAATATGACCCTTTTAAAGCTTTTCAAGACAAATTCTGAAGGAACCTGTTTTCAACAGACACCCTGTATTAAGCGGACACTAGCACAGGTTCCAAGGGTGTCCGCCTAATACAGGTTTGACTCTAGGTGCCCTATTATAAACCTACATGTATTTTACCCTGTTCAGAAAGATCATGAAAACTTTGACAAAAGCAGATTTAAAATAGCTTTAAATTCTGTGAATTGTTTGGTGGTTGGTAATTAGTTGTCTTGTAATATTTTTAACTTGGCTCTGAAGGAAGGTATTAAATCTTTCTTTTCCAGATCAGATGCTATCAGTGACAAAGTGGACCAAGGCATAAAGTAGTTATCTTTAGAAGGGGTGCATGATTTGTTTTGCAATCCAACTTTTGGGTGAACCAGGTAAACAAACTCTTAAATAAGCCAAGTTCAACATTTGTAAATTGAATGCAGTCATGCAATCTATTCTGCCATAGTTGACCTGTACATGAATAGACTGAAGTGCTCTCTTTTTTTAACGATACTGTTTTGAATTAATTGTCAATCAAATAATTCTTAAAATATTCTGTAGCCATGTTCAAAAGTCTTACTCAGCAACAGACTAGTTAACTAACTGAATGATCAATCGCCTGATTGATTGACTGACTGATTGACACACTGTTGGATGGTCTAATTGACTGACCAAGTGACGGGCTGATAGACAGAGGAATGGACAGACAGACGGACAGACGGACTGACTAACAGACTGACAGATGGACAGAAGAACAGATGGATGGACTGAATAACCAACCAACTGACTGACTGATTGATTGACTTGGAAATGGACGGACTGGTCAATTGCCTGATTGATTGACTGACGGACTGATGGATTGTCTAATTTACTGACTGACTCACTGACTGTCAGACAGGCTGACTGACTGGCTGGCTAATGAACTAAACAGAGTGACTGACTAGTGGATGGTCTAATTGACTGACTGCCTGACTAACTGCTTGACTAACTGACTGACAGGGAGATGAACTGACCAAAAGATTGACTGACTGGGACTGACAGACTAACGGCCAAGTGACTGACTGATTGACTGACAGACAGACAGACTGATCAACTAACTGACTGACTGTCTGTCTGACTGACTTACTAACTGATCAACTGATTGAATGACTGACTGACTGACAGACAGACTGACTGCCTGCCTGCCTGCCTGCCTGCCTGCCTGACTGACTGACTGACTGACTGCCCTGCCTGCCTGGGACTAGTGATCAATTGTCTGATTATTTGATTGATTGACTGCCAGACTGGCTGGTTAATTCTCTGGTTGATTGATTGACTGACTCATTGACTGGATTGTCTGACTGATCGACTGACTGACTGGCTGATTGATTCTCCGATTGATTGATTGATT